GAGTCCTGCGCTGCCGCGGGGGGGGGGCGCCGCAGGGGGGCGGGGCCTCCTGTCAAGGGGGGTTGAGGCAAAGGGGAGGCGGTGATGGTGATGATGATGTTCTTGGAGACGACGGGGTTGGAGTGGCACCAATTATGGGCGTCCTCGGCGGCGTTGGAGGGGTTAAGGGGTGTTTTCTCTGAAGCGCAGCTCTGTGAGACTGTGAGATGTCAGCGATGCCGCCGCCATGCATGTCTGAGCGCGCATTGCATCGCCTTGGGTTTGCTCGCGCGTGTCAGTCAGGCCGCGCGCGCGGATGAGAGCGAGGGGGCGAAGGAGATGGGGGCGCGTCGCAGAAGGGGGGATGGACGATGGGGCGATTGACGCAAGCTTCATGAGAAGGAAGGGCGAGGGGGCCTCGGCTGTCAAAAGATATCCTTGGTATCAATAGAAATGTTGTTTGTGTGAGGGCCCCAATTAGGGCCAACGGGAACCCGGGACAACTGCGCCTCGTGGAATACCTGATCGGGCAAGCGTTCGCCTTCCCGCGGTGGAAGGGGCCCCGGGGCCCCGGGCTGCGTTCGGTCCCCTCGTCCTTTTTTTCCTCGCGCGTCGGCACGTGTAACAGGGGGTCGGCTGGGGCTGCGCGCGGACCGTCGGCCCCCTTGGGGTCGGTTGGGGCTGCGCGCGGGACCGTCGGCTCCTTTGGGCGTCGGCTGGGGCTGGGTGCGGGGCCGTCGGCTCTCTGAGGCTCTCTGGGGGTCGGCTGGGGCTGCGCGCAGGGCCGTCGGCCCCCTTGGGGGTCGGCTGGGATTGAGCGCGGGGCCGTCGGCTCGAGGGAGGCGGTCCAACGCGCTGTCCGTCGGCCCCCAGCTAGCATGACGTGAGCACGTGCACGTGAATTAAATTAGAGACCCCAGTCCAGCACATCATTATTCAACAGCCGTGTGTCAGTCAGTCGGTCACTCTCTGCTTCCGCCTTTATTTTAACTTAGCCATGTGATCGTGGGGGCAGAAGGCGTGGTACCGCAGGCCGTTACCTCTGGTGACTCTGGCTCCGAAGGCTCCGTGTATGATAAGCTATGGCGCGCATCTGTTTTCTCGCATTGGCGAGGGATGGTTATTGGCGGAGAAGAAAACCAGGAGAACCACACAATATTCAGTTTAGGCCCTCGCCTGTCCCAATCTGCAGACCTGTTCCAATCATCTCTCTCTACAGTGTTGGATGCGGAGGGGGTCGTGCATCATTCTTTTGAGTTCGACGGTCCACGGAAATCGTTAAATGATGATGACGACCATGATTTTATGCATAAGTTGCAAGACGACCTTCTGAAGCACGATGAGTCTTTGATGCTGATGAAGGGTGATGGCGACCAGGTTCAGGAGACTAGGCGCGATCTGCTCTTCTTCTCTGTTAAGCACATTAACGCTGCCAGGACGAAGCTCCCAGCTTTTGCAACCCGTGTTGTTGGAGATTCGCTGATTATTCAACCGATGACTCTCAAAACGTATGATCACGAACGCAAGGTAGTTGTTCTTCTTCTAGAAAGCCCGGGTGGTTTGACGCTCGATTCGCTTCAAACGCTCTCCTTGCCAATGTTGAACACATCTGACCTTATGTCAATGAAGTCGTGGCATGTAAGTAACGAGCTAATGTACTTCCTGGAAGGTTTTCCCGTGCCAAAGGGTTTTGAGGAGGCGTGGCAGTACGTCATGCACGAGTTGTGCAAGACTTCTGAACGCGAGGCTGTAGAACAAGGCCGTTATTCGTGCGTTCCTTTTGTGCTTACCGCCAGCGGCGCTTCGGCTGACGAGTCTCGGCTAATGTTGATGCGTCGGTTGGCAGAGGCGGGCTTGTGTTCTAAGCTATCTGACGCGCAGACTTTTTCGACGTGGCAGCTTACCCCCTTGGGCGCGTCCAGGGTTCAAGTCGGCATTTCGCTCGAACGTCCGAAACCAATCGTTGCCATCAGGGACGGCGTCGGTGTCATGGATATGAGTGACTTCGAGCTGTGCGAAGAGCTGGGCCGCAGAGGCTGGCGATGCATCTGCAAGGGGAGCGAGAGCGCTGCCGACGCTGACGATGGGGCGGATAGCAAGGTTCCTTACAAGGATGGGGGCCCTAAGTATTGGTACATTAGCTTGAAAGATGCGAAGTTCAAAACGTGGTGCATGCGTGCTCTTCTGCTTGTCCCCGACACGAAAAAGGACCCAGGGTTTCAGAATGCACGCTGCCTTATCTGCCATCTCCCCACCCCTCCCCTGGGCCCTGGTCAGCGGCCACTTGAGCGTGCAGGAGGAGGGGGAGGGGCGAGCAGGCAAAGAGGGAGGGGGCGGGGGGTGGGGAATAGGGACACAGGGAGGCCCAGTGAAGAAAGAGGTGCGAGGGGTGATGGGGTGTGGGGGAGCGGACCGCGCATGCGGCATTATGCGTGCGGCCCCACATTTTCGATGTCGAATAGGACGTACCCCATCTACAGTCAGAGAAGTATTACAGGGCGCTTGTTCGCGGCGATGAACTTCCCCTTCCTTTTGGAAAATTCAAATTCTACGGCGAAGCAGGCCCTCCCCAAAAAAAACATCGGAAGGCCATTGCGGGCCCGAGGCCGCCAAAGGCTAAGAAGCTCAAGCCGACCCCAGCGCTCCACGACAAAGAAGCAGAGGCTGAGGCAGAAGAAGAAGCAGAGGCAGAAGAAGAGAAGGGGAAATCGGATAGCGATAGCAGCAGCAAAAGCTCTAGCAGCAAGCAAAGTTCAAGCAGCAGCAGCAGCAGCAGCAGCAGCTCGTCATCGAGCGGCCCACCACCCCCGAAAGCCCCACCCGAGCCTGGTCATGATGAGCCCGATCCTGTGCCAGACCCCCCTGCCCCAGCTGATCCGCGCCCAGACCTTGGGCCTGCTTGGGATACCAAGCGGTACGCCCACTACCGCTGGAGTCAAACTGGCCCTCGACATGCCCGTAACGGATGGGAGGTGCAATGTTACATCCCCGGGCACATTGAAGGCGGAGCCAAGTGCACCCGATCTTTGAGATATGCCAGGGCAGGCAGCGAGGAGGCGTGCCAACATTTCTTGCTGTGGTGGTGCGTCGAGGGTTTCGGGTCGGCAGGGAGAGGTGACCATATGGGTCTTCCTAGGGATCTTCCTCCAGAAGAGCACCGAACAACCGAAGACTTGATGGGCGAGTTGGAAGAGCTGGATGGTGAAGACTGGAGCTGATGATATGGTGTAGGTTCCTCGGTTCCTCGGACGCTGTTTCCTTGGGCAGCACGCAGCATGTTGGCATTGCGACGATGTATATGCGTTGTCTTGCAATTCGATCGCCATCAGCAAGCATTCAAACTGATGTTAATTCGGATGATGCCACCATGTCGGACACGTCGTTCGTCACATGTCGTTGAGCCGACCTTGCTGGCTTCAGTCTTGGGGCCATCTTTAGTAGAACGGATTTCGACACATAATGTCGAAATCCGTTCCTATCTTGAGTGGAACGGATTTCGACACATAATGTCGAAATCTGTTCCCATCCCGAGTGGGGCGGATTTCGACACATGATGTCGAAATCCGTTCCACCCATGTTTGGCGATTTGTGTTGCTGAATTTCGTTTTTGATTGGATTCCAACGCAAAGCGTCAAATGTATTTTCGGGTTTCAAAATTGACACAGAGGGGAGCAACCAAACGCAGCCTCGGCATTATCGGGGCCTTTGGGGGCCCAGCCCTGCGCTGGGTGGTGGGTACATGTGCCAACGTTGCAACCGTGCACTGGGTCACCATCGAAGTAACAGAGGAAGAGGATAGAAGAGGAAATGAGAGAGGATAAAGGAGAGGAAACCAGGATGGGGAACTAGAGGCAAAATGAGGAAGAGGAGGAATGCGAGAGCAGATGAGTAGATCAGATGTTGTCGTCGTCGCGCGAGCGCTTCGGAGCGGGGGAAAGGGAGGTGCATGGCGGCAGCCATCCTCGGCAGCCTGCGGCCTGCAGCGCCAATGACGGCGAGCTGCAGCAGCGGCGGCCCCGCCAGGCCCGCCAGCGGCTGTGCAGTCGCAACCGCCGCGGCCTCCCTTCGCCCCTTTTCATTCGATTCAGCTGTTATGTCATGAACTTTCCAATCTTCACCCTTGCCCCGAATCGTCCCACTCGCTCTAGACACGTGTTAGGGGATAAGATCTGCCTGGAGCTTCCGGAGGATCTTGGGGGCAGGAAAGCTCCAAAACGGCAGGTGGACAAGTAATGGGCTGAACAGAGTCGGATCGATCAAAACCAGTCCCGCCAACCGCGCATGTGACAAATAGCGCAGATCCTGCACGTTTCCGCTTGGATTCATTGTAAACGTGCAGTTTGGTTACTCGTCAGCATTGATTGTGCGCGAGCGCATGTGATTCGACACCGATCGCTCCAGATCGGTCCAGATCTTACAAATTCAATCCAATATCATGGGGTCGAGTCGTTTTGCTGCCGATCGGTGTGTTTCACTGTGATTTTTTGTTTTCTGGTGCAACTCCCTCCATTTCATACTGTTCGGTGCCGTTCGGCTCGAATCGGGTGAAACTCATCCGATTCGAACGTTTTCTCGCGTGTTTGGTTTGCGTGCTTGCGATTCGCTGTTTTCGGTGCGATTCGATGCTGAAATGGTTGGTTTTGTTATTTTTCCCTCGGTTCGGCAAAAAACCATTCAATTTCAATGATTTTCATTCGTTTTCTGTCATTTGCAAGTGTTTTGCTTCATTTCGCACTGAAATCGATCGAATTGCATGCGCGCGCAGTTTTGGCATGTCTCCCCGCACCTCCCCGCACCTCCCCGCACCTCTCCCCGCACCTCTCCCCGCACCTCCCCGCACCTCCCCGCACCTTCCCCGCACCTCTCCCCGCACCCTGCGCCCTATCAGGCGCCGAACCGACACCAAACACGTCAAAACTGATCAAAGTGGTTGAAAATGTGGCCAAAACCATGAAATCATTCAAAATTTGCCGAAAATTGCAAAATCATGCAAATCCGTGCGAAAATCATGAAACAGATGT